CTGTAATGAGCCAGGTCTGGGTCCTGAACCAAAAAATACCCCCCCCCCGAGCACCAATCCCAATATTTACCCCTTTTATCCCAAATCCTCTTTACAATCAGGTTCCTTCAGGTTTGAGGCTCCTCCTGTTTTGAGGTTCCTCCACAACTGAGGTTCACTAAAAACTGGGCACCTGACAGGGATGGAGTGGCAGTTCCACCCCCTGCAGTGATCCAGTTATGGGTCCTGACCCCTCAAAACATCCCCCGGAGCACCAATCCCGACATCCACCCCCTTTATCCCAAAGAACTGGTCTGGGATTGCAGAGCCCTCGCTCCGGGTGTGCAGCCCATCCCATCCCATCCCCAGGCAGAGCTCAGGTCTCACCTGTTCTCCTCCCCCTCCAGCAGCTTCCTGTACATGGCGATCTCCACGTCCAGCGCGATCTTGACGTTCAGCAGCTCCTGGTACTCCTTCAGCAGCCGGGCCAGCTCCTCCTTGTCCTTGCTCAGGGCTGCCTCCAGCTCCTCCAGCTTTATCCGGGCGTCCTTGAGGGCCATCTCGCCCCTCTCCTCGGCCTCGGCGATGGCCGACTGGAGCTGCTGGTTCTGGGGGGACAACAGGAGGTGTCTCGGACCTTGTTTTGTCACTCAGGGTCAACCCTCGGACCCCCGAGTGGAGAACTCAAGGGGAAATGTCCAAGATTCACAGAATGCTCTGAGGTGGAAGGGACCCACAAGGATCATCGAGTCCAACTCTTAAGTGGAATGGGAATCAAATCCACATCCTCAGTGTTGCTCCATGAACTTGGGGTGATTGGAGGTTTCTGGCCCAGTCCTGGTCATTCATGATCCAACCTCCTGCCACCATTCCCTGAGACATCATCCAATCCCCACTTGCTGCTTCGTGTCCTTGATCTCATCCCTGAGACACCAACCAACCCCCACCTGCTCCTTCATGTCCTTGATCTCATCCCCAAGACACCAACTGACCTCTACCTTCTTCTTCCCATCCTCAACCTCATCCCCAAGACACCACTGAATCCTTTACGTGCTTATTCACCTTCTCCATCTCATCCCCAAGAACCAACCAACCTTTCCCTGCTCCTTCACCTCTTCAATCTCATCCCTGAGACACCAATGAATCCTCACCTGCCTCTTCAGCTTCTGAATATCGTCCCCAAAATACCAACCAACCTCTACCTTCTTCTTCCCATCCTTGACCTCGTCCCCAAGACACCAACCAACCCTTCCCTGCTCCTTCACCTCCTCAATCTCATCCCTGAGACCCCGCCCAACCCTCTGAGGTGCTGAGGGTCCTTTACCTGCTTCTTCACGTTCTCAATGTCCGCCCGCAGCCTCTGGATGTTCCTGGTCAGCTCCTGGATCTCCATCTTGGTGTTCCGGAGGTTGTCCCCGTGGCGCCCGGCCGTGCTCTGCAGCTGCTCGTACTGGTGGCACGGGGACAAAACAACCCCTCAGTGACACGTTCCTGGTGCCTCCGGGGGGTTTGGCACCAGTTTCGTGGCTCAGGGGCTGCCACGAGGACCCAGCACGTGATGGGTGTTGAGTGTTAAAGGTGGTGCTGGGACCCAGCTGTTGGGTTTGAGCTCTGAAAGGGATCTTCATCCCACAAGGGTGGGATAAAAGCCTTGCCCAAGTGGTTTGGATTCCCTCAAGGGTGGGATGACCCTCAGCCAACTGTTGAGTCCTTCAGGGTTGGGATAACTCTTGGTCAATCATCACCTGAGTCCCTCAAGGGTGGGATGACCCTCGGCCAGCTGTTGAGTCCTTCAGGGTTGGGATAATCCTTGGCCAACCACTGACTCACCCTCAAAGGTGGAAAATCCTTGGCTAAGCATGGCTTGGATCCCTCAAGGGTGGGATAACCCTTGGCCAGCTGAGTCCATCGGGGTGGGATAACAGATAACCCTTGGAAAATCATCACCTGAGTCCCTCAAGGGTGGGATAACCCTGGGCCAACCACTGATTACCCCTCAAAGGTGGACAATCAGTGACTCCAAGAAGCGTCTCTTGGCTCCTGAGAAGTGAAGCTGGGCTGGACTTTCCTCACTAAGGTGCCTTTTGGGCCATTTTTCTCGAGAGGCCGGTGCTGTTCACCACAGGGACACGTTGGGGACGGTGACTCAGATCCCTCAAAAGCAACCCAAGCCCCGTGGGGACATCCTTGTGTCACGAGCTCCAGCCCCGTTAGGCCGGTGAGGCGTCTCACCCCACCATAAATTATTATAAATTATTATAAATGATTATAAATTATTATAAATGATTATAAATTATTATAAATTATTATAAATGACTCAGCCCTGCCCCGGGGGCCTCGCCCAGTCCCAGCCTCACCTGGCTCTGGTACCAGGCCTCGGCCTCGGCGCGGCTGCTCTGGGCGATCTGCTCGTACTGGCGCCGCAC